AAATTAACCCAAATAAACGATGATGCTTATGCAAAAAGAAAGGAATAGTAGGTAGCAAGGGGAACAGGTTTAAAAATAAAAGCGGGTAGGGGGGTGCAGGGGGGAGGGCGCAGCGCCTCCCCCGCAATGCGTACCAAGAGAGAAGCACATAGGCACAAGTCTCAATGGATATATTGCAAGTAAGAACGAGAAGATCAAGAAAGAAGCACATAGGCACATGTCTCGATGGATATCAGCAAAGATGAAATTAACCCAAATAAACGATGATGCTTATGCAAAAAGAAAGGAATAGTAGGTATAGCAAGGGGAACCGGTTTAAAAATAAAAGCGGGTGGGGGGGTGCAGGGGGGAGGGCGCAGCGCCTCCCCCCGCAATGCGTACCAAGAGAGAAGCACATAGGCACAAGTCTCAATGGATATATTGCAAGCAAGAACACCAAATAAATCGATGTGATGCTTATGCAAAAAAAAGGAATAGTAGGTAGCAAGGGGAACCGTTTTAAAAATAAAAGCGGGTGGGGGGGTGCAGGGGGGAGGGCGCAGCGCCTCCCCCCGCAATGCGTACCAAGAGAGAAGCACATAGGCACAAGTCTGAATGGATATATTGCAAGTAAGAACGACAAGATCAAGAAAGAAGCACATAGGCACAAGTCTCGATGGATATCAGCAAAGATGAAATTAACCCAAATAAACGATGATGCTTATGCAAAAAGAAAGGAATAGTAGGTAGCAAGGGGAACCGGTTTAAAAATAAAAGCGGGTGGGGGGGTGCAGGGGGGAGGGCGCAGCGCCTCCCCCCGCAATGCGTACCAAGAGAGAAGCACATAGGCACAAGTCTCAATGGATATATTGCAAGTAAGAACGACAAGATCAAGAAAGAAGCACATAGGCACAAGTCTCGATGGATATTTTGAAAGAAGAAGAAAGAGAAAATGAACCCTAAGAAACGATGCTTATGAGCAAAAGGCAAGAGAGTAGGTAGGAAGGGAAGCTGATGAAAAAACAAAAGCGGGTGGGGGGGTCCCCTGCAATGCGTACCAAGAAAGAACATGAAAGAAGTACATAGGCACAAGTCGCGATGGAGATCAATGAAGATGGAATGAACGCAAATAACCGATGATAAGTGTTGACTGCACACATGGTCCTTCCTTCCTTCCTTCCTTCCTTCTTTCCTTCCTTCCTTCCTTCCCTTCGTTCCCCCCTTGCATCCTTCCCTCCTTCCCTCCTTCCCTCCTTCCCTCCTTCCTCCTTCCCTCCTTTCCTCCTTCCCTCCTTTCCAACTTCCCTCCTTTCCTCCTTTCCTCCTTCCCTCCTTCCTTCCTTCCCTCCTTTCCTCCTTCCCTCCTTATTTCCTTTCTTCCTTCCTTCCTTTCCTCCTTTCCTCCTTCCCTCCTTATTTCCTTTCTTCCTTCCTTCCTTCCTTCCTGCCTGCCTGCCTGCCTTCCTTCCTTCCTTCCTTCCCTCCTTTTCTCCTTTCCTCCTTCCCTCCTTCCCTCCTTTCCTCCTTCCCTCCTTTCCTCCTTCCCTCCTTCCTTCCTTCCTTCCCTCCTTCCCTCCTTCCTTCCTTCCCTCCTTTCCTCCTTCCCTCCTTTCCTCCTTCCCCCCTTTCTTCATGGTCATTTATTTTTTTTGATGCATTTATATTTTTTTTGATGCATCTTTATTTTTTTTGATGCATTTTTATTTTTTTTGATGCTTCTCCCGATCGTTCCCAAAGAGGACCAAAACCCCTTTTCACCACGCCATTTGGTGGAAGATACCACTGTGACCGTGAATGTCATGGTCTTAGACATGCCAAGGAAATTTGTCTGACGCCACGATGTCACAGATGTGGCCCACAGTCAGACGTTCCCCAACATAGGCTGTATGCGATCTCACATGGATATGCACTTCATGTTGATTAATTATGAGCATTGTCGTGATGCGGGATCCAATGGTCCACTCCGGGCCTTCAATCCATGTGCGATTTGCTGCACTGCAGATGATAGACTTGTTATGACTTGTTTAGAGGGCTTGAGCTGAATATGTGGTCAGTGGAACTGATCACATAGGGGGAGTGCGTGTAAGAATTCCATGCATCCCTATTTACCCAATGCTCAAATGGAAATACTTCCACTTTTGCTTTGACTTCAACCCACCGGGTGTTGTCCAGACTTCAACTCACCGGGTGTTGTCTAGGAATCCTGAAGAACCTGCATCTGGGCCGGACCGAAGCCTTTTAGATGTCAAGCGGCACAAAGGTGCGTCAGCTAGCAGCGAGGTGGCTGCTTGGAGTTTTGGGGAAACTTGGTTTTGTTTTTTGGGTTGAAACATTTCTTTTCCGGTTGGAGTCGGGATCTCAGTTGCTGTTCAGGGTTCCAGGACGGTTCACTTGTTGGCATTGGGAGGCTTCAGGAAACACAGAAACCATGGAAACCGTGCAAACTATGAAAACCGTACAGAAATCTTTGACAACAGGGAAACCATGGAAACCGCAGACAAATCATGGAAACCATGGAAACCGCAAAGAAATCATGGAAACCGTGGAAACCATGGAAACCATGGAAACCGCAGACAAATCATGGAAACCATGGAAACCATGGAAACCGCAAAGAAATCATGGAAACCGTGGAAACCATGGAAACCATGGAAACCGCAAAGAAATCATGAAAACCATGGAAACCGCAGACAAATCATGGAAACCATGGAAACCATGGAAACCGCAGACAAATCATGGAAACCATGGAAAACCATGGAAACCGCAAAGAAATCATGGAAACCCTGGAAACCGCACAGACAGCATGGAAACCATGGAAACCGCACGAAGAAATCATGAAAACCATGGAAACCGCAGACAAATCATGGAAACCATGGAAACCATGGAAACCGCAAGAAGAAATCATGAAAACCATGGAAACCGCAGACAAATCATGGAAACCATGGACACCATGGAAACCGCAAAGAAATCATGGAAACCATGGAAACCATGGAAACCGCAAAGAGATCATGGAAACCACAAAAACCATGGAAACCGCAAAGAAAGTATGGAAACCATGGAAACCATGGAAACCACACAGATATCATGGAAACCATAAAAACCATGGAAAACCGCAGAGAAAAATAGAAACCATGGAAACCATGGCACAGAGTGTGTCGCGTTTCAAAATGAGTAATAAAGTCGCGTCTCAAATTGAGTATTATCCCGCGTTCTAAAACGAAACCTTTCCTATCTATAACTATCTTGGCTCTTTAGAAATTCAGTGCTATTCTGATCATCATGTCTTCACAATGTTCCTGAGGCCACGGCTGCAAAGAAGTTTGTACGCTTCCCCTGTGGCACAGCGGTACATCCTGCCCCGATCTCCTAAGGACGCCAAGGAACCCATGCCGGGCCTTCTCAGCAGCAGGGCCTTTTCGTTTCTTCGGCCTTGTTCCCATCATGTCCCATCACAAATTCACAGGGGGAATGGATCAGTTTCATTCATGTTCACCACCCCTCTCCCCCCAAAAAAAGAGCACAGGATAAATCAAGCGTTCACCAACAAAAACAATGCTAAATCCATGTTCACCAAAAGTCGCACAGGATAAATCAGAATCAGGTGTCTCCGCTGGGACCCTACCAGGCCCTACCTCCACACGGATGAACCCCATCCATAGACCAACAGGCACCCCGACTGGATGAGGACCTGCATGACCTTCACTGGCTCATCCACATCCACCCGTGCCGTCCTGGTATGGGTTGACTGGTAAACCATATGGTGTGCATATAGACATTGGAATGGGTAGATGATTCGATCAATATGAAAGCAAACGAATCGATCGAAGATGAATCGACACAGCGTTAAACACAATACATCATAATACTATAACTATATGCTGTTCATTGATATTCTGATATTCATTGCCGGTACTGGTGCAAGAGTGGAGGGCTCTACTCACACAATGGCCACTTGGGTTTGTGATGTCCACTAGGGCGCCACGGCTGGGTGTCAAATTGAAGGCTAAGTGAGTGTCTGCTCTGTAAAAATCCTCAGGCCCGCACTGCTCTGCCAAAGTCAAGGACCTGAAAAGCTGGTCACAGTCAGAAGACAAAGAAGTCATGGCATTCTGAGAGCGTTTTTTGGGGAGATTGGAGATTTATATATGTTGGCCTCAACGCCCTCAAAACTTGCTGTGCTGCATGGTTCAAGGAACAAAAATCCTGAGATTTCACCTTCGAAACCCCGTTTTGGAGGCTCCATGTTCGATTTCAGGAGGTTTCTATTGGAAACGTTTGTGTCTGTCGGCAGGCCATGGATATGGAAATGCTGGGACTTCCCAAGTCTCCAAGAGTGATGACACAGGCTCCCCAAGAATCCATCAAAATCTGATTTTTGTTTGTTCTCTGTTGGCTCAATGATTTTCAATACTCCGAGAGGTGTTGATGAAATCTCTCCTATTGATTCTTTCTGTTACTGGTTGGTTGCCAAAACATTCCAAAAATAAGTCAAAGTGTTTGAAACATGTTGAAACTGCAAACCCAAGCCTGCCCTGAAATTTCAGGACATCCCCAGCATTCCCAAAAAAAGAGAATCTCTTCATATCTCTTCCAAGATTTCTGACGATGGAGTGCTGGCCAGCTCCAAATCGATTTCCGTCAGCTCCTGGTCCTCCTGTTCGTGAAAATCAGCTACAAATTGAGGATGCCAAAAGGCTAGCCACATCAAATTGAAGAAGAGTTGTTCAAACAACGCGTGTGAAAGGTTTTTTAAAGAAAAAACAACGGTTCACTATGAACGACCCATTAAGAAAAGGTAGGTGTCGGATGGTGTCGGAGCCGGGGAGTCCCAGCGGACATCAAGTTGCAGCCGCTGACGCCACGCGACGATTTTTTCCGCCGAGGGCATAAGATGAAGTGAGCAGCACTAATAATGAATGGCTGCAGGTCGCACAAAATCCCTCTTGGAGGCATGTTGAACTGTGCTGACCGGAATGAAACATAGTTTTCACGAATGAGCAATGCCAATGCTCCGATCCTACAAACTACGAATTGGCGTGTCGAGAGCAAAGCCACTCTTCGATTTGCGACCGCCGGGCTTCTGCCGGGGGCAATTGCAAGTGTGACATGAAGCGGGTCGTCCGGATTTTGCCTCGGTGCATCGCTCAAATGGCTTGGGCTTGAATCCTCATCGCTGCCCACCCTTGCTTCAATCCACACATGCTGCACATTCCTGCGGAAACCTCCAGTACTTCAAATTACTAAATCATATTGGACTTAGCCCAGGATGAATACACCACAATTGATTGTTTGGAGGATAGTCCCAAAATGCACCAAAAAATGATAAGTTATATGAATAATGTATATACAGAAGTATATCATGAGTATATGACATCTGAAATTACTATTTAACGTTGAACGGACCCTCCCAACATCTCCAACCCCTTGTCTTCATTCTGATTGCTGTTTGAAAATGTGTCCCAGAAAAATCAGAGACCATGGCTTTATATTTTGTATATTACAATCCACCACAAATCCCAAAGGTTTACATTGTGCAAGAGAAACACTAAGATTTAAAAACAACGGACTGTTGCAACCTATCTGGCCATGGTGAAACCTGCATTTCTGGGCCAACGGAAGGTGTCGGCAGTTTTCTTCGCCCATCAACCAGGGTAGCGAATTTCATGAATTTCAATGATGTCAACCCCGGATATAACCCTGAGTATTCAGCGGGTTTCCTCACAAATTCGCGCCAGTCGGCTACTCAAATCTGCTACTATCCAGAGGAATGATCAATCCAACCAGCGCCATTCATGTGGTAAACCCAACAACAACCCATCCCTAAAATCACCACAAATGGGTCCTATAAACCATCCCTATGTTTGTTAAACGGTAGGTTTATGGCATTGGCTTCCCAATATTATACAATAATTCGCTAATCACCCCATGATCCATTACGTACAATCCCACAATCCCATAACCCCATAATCCATATATATATATGCATACACATATATTCCATCATTGAACTATATTGTATCATCAGCACTGATCATCAGCACTAATGGATCCGTCATAAACCATCCCATACCATGGTAGGTTTCTGGCATTAGCTTTCCCAACATCAGACAGTAATTCACATAATTCACTAATCATCCCATCATATTGGGAAAAGTACAGTAAATCCCATATAAATCCCATATAAATCCCCCATAAATTCCCCATAAATCATCCCATCGCTTGCTTCAGCCGCCATGATCCAATCGTTGATCCGGGTCCGGCTTCGTCAAGGCCAGCACTAGTTCCCCGGCCTCCTCGCTGGGCATGGGCCGCGCTGAATGCCTGGCTTTTTGAATGGATCTGTGCTGATTTCATGGTGTTTTACTGGGGTTTACTGGGGTTTAAATGGGTTTAATGGTGGTTAATGGTGTTTAATGGTGTTTAATGGGGTTTAATGGTGTTTTAGTGGCGTTTTAGTGGTGTTTGAATGGGAATTTACAATCAATAATGGTTTAACCATGGGATTTTAATGGCTAGTAATAGTTCATAGATGTTCTTTTGCTCTCGTTACTGTAGCCCTTTTGCCACAGGTTCTTTGAAAGTTCTTTGCGACCGCTGTTCTGTACAATTATTGTCTGGGGCTGGTACATTCAACTGCTCATAGATGTTAATAGCGGTTAATGATGGTTCATGATGCTGATGACTAATGGTTGATAATGGTTTTTAATGGAAACAGATGGTGATTGATGGTGCGTTTATGGGTTTTAATAGGATGTGGGAAAATCCCTATAAATGGAGGTTTGTAGCTGGGAAAATCATCGAACTAAATGTGATGTATGTTTTACGAAAACTGATGAAACCAGGCATATTTCATCTAATATCCCCAACTAATTACTGGTTATATATGGTTGTATGGCGTTTTGTGCTATACCCTGGGGTAAACCAACAGAGATGTGGAAAAACCATGTGGAAAACCTTTGGTTTCCCGTTCGAAATAGTTTACCCTAGGGTATGTTCGACGAAAGTTTATGAAAAATGCATATCAATATCTATATTTTTTTATCTATAATTTGTATTAGTATATGAAGACATGCATGTTTATCAAATATTCATTTTGTATTATTCATTTTGTATATGATTATATCCATATGCGCATGTGTGTGAAGAAAACCCAGATCTATCTAGATCTATCTAGATCGCTTAAATCTATCTAGATCTCTTAAATCTGCAAACTAGTACCCTTTTGCATTCTATGAGGCGATTCTTAAATTTGACCGAAAACCGGGCGATTCACAAAGCCCTTGGCACCTCAACGGAGTCTTCACCTTACCAAGGCCATCCAACTAGAAAAGTAGTGGCGGGTGGAGAACCGACACTAACAGAGAAGCAAAGAAACAAAGACACAAAAAATGGATATCTCCAATATACACCAAATCCAAATATACCCATACTTAAATGTATCCAAAACTGTCCAAATCACATACTTGTCCAACAGGCGATAGTTGTTTGCCAACTTGGTGAAGTTGTGTGCAGAGAAGGGGTAGCACGGTGTGGACCAGTCTCCTGCAGCATCCTTGATTCCACCAGTCAGCACGTTCCAACATACCACGCCGAACGAATAGATGTCCGCTTTGTAGTCCTAAGAACGCAGATTTTCACGACAAAAAAAAGGGGTGATCGAATGGCAAAATGTGTCCAACAAGCGGTCACAACCAACAAACATGAGGAGGCACACATTTACATGTGTGTGTGTGCAATAATAACTATATTGCAAGTAGTTATATATTTACAAATAAATATTTATATAACTATATAAAACTATCTTTATAATTATGATACACACAGTAGTACGTCAAGTGCTCTATAAGGCTAGCCGAGCCAAGGACTCCTTGTAAGAATACGGGCCTGCACCGGGCTCCTGGAACTCAAAGCCCGTCAGTAACAGCATATGGCTTCGTCTTCAGGTGCAAAATCATCCCAAAATCCAATGGTGTATCAGACTTATCACCATGTTATATCATATTCTATCACGGTATGTGCCATTTTATATTATGTCAATTACCCTCTGGTAATTTAACATAGCTATTGAAAATGGCCATTTATAGTGGATTTTCCCATGAAAAATGGTGATTGTCCATAATTAGTTATGTTAGTTCACCAGAGGGTACATGATATCATGTTCCCCATGACACTTGCCATACTTCTGATCCCCAATAGGACCAAGCCATTTTGGGCTCACCGTGGCATCATGGCGTCGCTGAGATGCGTATGGTTTCTGAAGCACCACTTCGGGCGCGACATACGCGGGACTTCCCGGCGGACAATTCTGCAGGGTGAACTCCCCGGATGAAATCAGGCCTGGAAATGACCCAAGTGGGCCAAACATCCCAACAATGCAGAAAAATGTAGAAAAAACATAGCAAAACATTCAAAACATATCATAAAATGTGAGGAAAACCGAGGTATCGCCATCCCAAGAAATGATGAACTTATATTTAAAAACAGGGTTGGGACACCTTTAAACCATCAAGCAAACGACTGTGTTGCCTCCGCAAAAGGCGTCTGTTTCCGTTGAAGCTTTGGCCATAGCAGCACATCCTTTTAACCCGCCCCAGTTGCTAGCCGATAGTCGTTGCAACTTGCCACCGGCCCCCTCAATTTCACATGACAGTCACAAGATTAGCAAGAAACGAACCGGGCACACTCCCATCCCACCCATCCCACCCATCCCTCCCATCCCACCCATCCTACCCACCCATCCTATCCATCTGGATAAATGATACTAATTCATACTAATTCACTCATCTAAAAAAGTAAGGCTATGAATTGGGGCTCCAGTTCACTCCAATCCATCCCATCCTTCTCCCATCGACCCATGGCCGGCCTATTCGACCCATTCCGAAATCCGTCAGCTTCGCCCGGCCACTGCGTGAGAACACCACATTCCGCGGCTTCAGGTCGCGCTGCAGAGTGCTCAGGACCAAATGCAAGTGTTCCTGGCTTGCATGGCTTGCGGATGCTTGCGGTGGGATTCACCCAAGGGTTTAGTAAATAACGACCATTTATGTAAATCCATTTTAAGGGGATGATTGGCTGTTCTTTTTTTTAATGGAAATATGTTGGGGGTGGTTTCTAATTCGTTTACATAGGTTTACCACTTTATTCAGAAATGGTGCAAGTTGTGCCATGGCTGATAAACCTAAAACAAAATGGAAAAAGAAAAAGACCAGACTACCAATACACCCCTGGTTCATCCTTATTTTGGGTCCCCCCAATTCAATAAATGATGGTTAAGTCATCTGGGGTTGACCTTGGACCCAATATATCTATTTGTTGAAAGAATTGGGAACAAAATATGATAAACCCACTGGATTTTGGAATACCCAGGGACCCAGACAAACCCATCTTGCTGACATGATCAGACATGTACAACCATACATCTGGTTGCAAGGAAAATACTCTGGAAATTGTCTCCGGACGTTCCGTTGCAGTGTTGGATCAACAGCAAGGGCATCAATGAACCGCTGATGGATCTGTGTGTTGACTTCAACATGTAACATGAACGTGGCCTTTGACGCAATGCTAACTTCCAACGTTGCAAATTCAAGTCCCACGAAATAGCCCACAAACACAACAAAGCACCAAAAACTTGGTTTTATCATATACAATCACAAACACCTGATATATATATATATATAACTATATATATAACTATGTATATAACTATATATATAATTATATAAATACATTTCCAGTATTTGAAAGCTCTTCCTCCATGTTTGTTTGAAGAGGAAAAAAAGATGAAAAAACAACAGCAGCTGTTTTCACGCCATCACCCCATTCACCGCCGGTGGTTTCAGCAGCCGAGCAGCGAGACCAAGGAAGATCTCAGCGAGCCACGTCAACGCCTCTTTCGGCAAATGATACTCGCCGAGTAGGTGACCTCCGGAAGCGGATGGAGTGGCAGAACTATAATGTATTCACATTCTATTATTTATATATATATATATGTATATGTATATATGTGTGTGTGTCATAATATTATAATATATTTATAATGTGTATATATATATAATTATATAATATATGTAGACAAGCTATATATATATATGTGTGTGCGTACATAACCATGTGTATGCATGTGATTGTATGGGGAAAGGATGGCCCTGAAAGGCGTGGAAAAGAATGGAAAAGAATGATTGAAACAACGTGAGACAACCAGGTTTGACTTAAATAGATTTGAATAGATCGTAACTGGTAGCGTGGGCGTCATTCACAAGGTCTATGACTTGATTTATCTTAATACTCATTCCCAAGCCCAGGTCACATCGGTCCACATCACCCCACCTGCATTCACTTTGTCCTGAAGATCACCCCCTGCACAAAACTCCATGACCAAGGAAGAGAAGCCAGTTCCACTCTCGATGAAGTGGTTGCCAAAAATCTGCACAATAAATGGGTGCGGATTCATCAGCACGTGATTGGTGACTTCTCGCTCCCTTGCCACAGTGGCCTGTCGATAGGTATGGCTCTTCTTCACCGCGTACCACTGTCCGGACCGCGAATCCATGGCCCGCCAGACCGTGCCAAACATGCCTTGGATTGGGGGCTTGGCATCTGTTTGGACAAAGAAAGATAACATGGATTCCCCAAGTGGACCAACATGGATTATATGGATTAATGATACCAATGGGAAAATAATGAAAGTAGAAAAGTCGTTTAAAAAAACACACACATAAAAAAATGTTTAAAGATCATCTTCAGCAAGGATGCCCTTGCCCAGTATCGCTTCGTGCGGAACATAGTCCCGTCTCACGGGCAGTGGGCTATTCACCCAGTCCTGGATGTAATGACCATCGGGGTCGATAGGGACCAAATGATCCAACCCGGGGTATTGTTCTCCCTTCCTCAAGAACTCCTTGATCATGTAGTGGTTCCTCAGCCCACAAGCGACACCGGGGGGAACAAAAATCACCAAGTGATGCTAAAAATCCCAGGCTTCGGGGCGTGTCCCATCCAACCGTGTCAGGATCTCCCCTCAAATTTTCTTCCAAATTTCCATGGGATTCCACATGATTCCACTGAGGCCCGGACATCGACGCGAGCTTCCGTCCATTCCCAGCCTTCCGCGCGCAGAGGGAGAAGGTCTCGCAGAGCCAGCGTTCTGTGAGATCTGCCACGTCAGAATCCGAGCTGGTGTACCTAGACTGTTTTTACGGGGCTACACCTGAGATACCCTCTGGTAATTTAACATAACTATTGAAAATGGCCGTTTATAGTGGATTTTCCCATGAAACATGGTGATTTTCCATAGTGATGTTAGTTTACCAGAGGGTATGCCAACCCTCTCTCTCTTTGTGCTCAGAGACGGCAGAGACGGATATCTTCAAATATCTTCAAATCATTTAGTGTTTTGCTGCACCCAACCTGTCAGTATGCCAATATCTGCTGGGCAACACTGGTGAGCTCCCAGAACTTCGTGATGCCACCCTACCACATACAACCAACATCAAGTAACTCTGGGCATCTGAAGCTTGAAAGGGCGTCTACAGTTACTAGCTTGTATGTAATCTTAATTAATGTCCCTTGCAGCCCCCACTCACTCCGAAAGAACTTCAAATAAAGGCAATTGCGACCACGCCAATCACTTTCAAAAATCACCCACTTAAAGTTTGTTTATCCATTCATATCCAAACTCAGTCATCAAACATGCCTAGGTCATAATCTGTCCAGCCAGGCTACGATGCGATGAAATCCTGGATGCTGCGCGACAACGGAGCCAGGCGCTGCATGACCTCTGCATCGCTCTCGTCCTCTGAGAGCATGCTGACCTGCGCTGGCGCTGGGGGTGGCAAACAAAATACCAAACAAACTGGTCAGAATGAAATTGTCTACAGGAAGTTTTGGGCTCAAAAACAGAGGGGAAAGGTGGTATATGTTGTTGTTTCTGACTTCTGCACATAATTCATGGGAAGATTCTTCCACCGGAATGTGCTGGTAGTCCGTCTAATTCTTTTGGGTGGGATCCAATGTCAACGTTTCACCCCCCTCACCTGGTTGCACAGGGACACCAGAAAGCTCTGCATCACCGCCGTTCCCTCCTTGGAATTCTCTGCGGTGACGTGGATGGCCGGAGGCAGGGCACGTCTTAGGAGTTCCAAACCATCCTCACCTGATTTCGGCAGCACGTCCCAGAATTTATGAGACTTTCAGCATGGGAAACTGTCCGGGAGATCTATAAAATTGTTCCATATAGTAACGGCCTGCTGCAAATATTCAGTCAACTCATTTCCACAGCTAGTGGTTCAAAATATTATATAGAATTTAGACTGTATATAATTAAATGTCATGCTCGACCAAGCTGCGTCTCTTGGAGGGAAGAATCTCCCATTTACCAGTTCGTTCCCATCATATCCCATGTTTGTTGGCTAAATACCCTATTTGTTCCTTGAATCGGCTGGTGAAATCCATAAATTTAGATCCCCATGCGGCTGTTGGTCCACATCTTTGATGGTTAAGTCCCCACTTTCTGATGGCTAGATTCGGTAATGTTTAACCGTTTGATGGTTAAATCATGTTAAATCCCATATTTTTGATGATCAAATCCCTATTCTGTTTTACTCAAACGGTCCAAACGGCCATTTCTTGGCCTCGCCTTGCAACAATTGCGCTAATGCCTGCGCGAACTTCGCCAAGGAGTGACGCTTGGGATACGCCAGGACGCTTTGGAGGTTTGGCAAATCCGCCACGGAACAGTTGAAGGAACACCTCACAGGGGTTCAAAACAAGGCCCCTTACATGGATCAAACAAAGGGAGCCAAAGGAACCACATCAAATGATATCAAATGTTACACATGTTGATGCACATTGCCATTGCACATATCATCTCTCCATCGCCTTCTCAAGGAGCTTAGCGGAGCAAAAGGTCGCAATATAGAAAAAGATGCAAACGTGTTTCCAGGATGGTGTGGACGTGTGTAGGTGATATTTACATCATATTTTCAGGTTTCGATTTTTTCTCTGTTTGGAGTATGGTATATAATCGGTATATATATATATACACATATATACACATATATATACACACATATATATATATATATATACTATCTGTGTGTGCATATATGTGGCCCCGATTTCCAATAGATATGGATGGTTCACCAGCCTCACTGTGATGGTGCCACAGCCATTCTCCAAAGAGATGGTGTGATCGCGACTTGTGCCTGCCTGGTCAGTTTGAGGCTTCTGTGCAAAGAATAGAGGGCTGCAATGCGTCAAACATGTGAGAAAAAAAAGATGTGAACATGCCCAAACCACAATACGTACAAGTCCATTTGAGTCATTTGCCAGAGGTTCGCCAGCACTTCAGGCTTAGAAAGGAACTTGTTCAAGAGTTCCCCAACGATTTTTTCAAACAAAACGGTGTGTTGAAGCCACCCAGGCACCAATTCCGTGGTGCTAATGGGCAAGCGTGCCATCCCCACCAGGGCATCTTGGCATAGACGCCTCACCCGGAAGACCTTGATGGTCATCTCGGGGATGCGACGATCCAACAGGGTGGAGGCTAAGGACATGGCGGCTGATGAGGTGGCCCTCGGCCCCAAGCCACTCTCGTGTGCCACGATGTCTTCCAAGGTGAAGGGGATGGGGGTGTGGTTGAAACACACCTCACTGGCATCTCCTGATTCTCCGGAATGGATGAAACATGATGAAACGGTGGTTGCACTTCAATGGGCGGAGCACCATGTGTTCTACAATATATAATATAACTGATTAATACATTTTTAGACTATGACATATTATGTAAGCCTTACAATGTAAGGCCTTGATCTTCAGTATATGATAGATATGATAGTATAGGATGTAACTATATAAGTAGTTATGTTTGAAGCCCTCTCCTTGAACATGCGCGATTTCCGTCTGCCCCTGACCGCGACCCACGGAAATGGTCACATACATCCGCCAGCTGTGAGGTTTGCCCTGCAGCCAGCGACAGATCTTCAAGATGTTGTCCCCATTGAGGGTAGTCGGGGTCTGTACTTTGCTTCCGGCCCGAACTTTCACCCACAACAAGCTGCTTGGTGAGGGTGACTCGGACCCGTGCGGGAGATCGGTGGATGCCGAATGCCCCATGGCTCCCAGGAAAGTTTCAGGCGACCGTAACTCATCTCATCCAGCCACGGACGCCTTAAGCCAGGGCGGCTTGCGACCTTTCGGATGCAGCATCTGGATGCATCTGGATTTACGGCTCATGTTACCACTGGGGGTTCAGACAAAGCCCTTAAAGACTCGATCAACAGGCCCATACAGTGCCATACCGGCCCTTCACAGTTGGAGCCAAGCAGTCCAGACCATCTCACAACAAGTCACGCTTTTGCTCAGCTCTGGTTGCTGGGCTGGGTCTGAGATGGCCCACAATCAAGGGATTGTGGTGACCACCCACCTGGGAGGGCATGAATCCTTAAACTTCGGATGCCGCCCATATGAACAATTATGAACGTTGTTTACATAGATACCCTCTGGTAAACTAACATAGCTATTGAAAATGGCCATTTATAGTGAGTTTTCCCATCAAAAATGGTGGATCTTTCCATAGCTATGTTAAATTACCAGAGGGATTGAGGTCTGTACACTACGATCCTACACCAGGTCGGGCAAATCAAAATGTGACCGTTTCAACAGGTTCGCTTGATAAAAATTGTGGACCTCGCGGTTTCACCGCGTCCGCGTCCACTTTCACATATATTCTTTTGCATCTATGTGTACTTAAACCAATTCAAACATATACATGCATATGATTGTATGTTATATGTATATAATATATATATATATATTATAAACGTATATATATATATATATTATAAATAGATATACATATATATATATATATGATTGCGATATGCCAAGTGTATAATCAATTGTTATATCTGTATGCACTTCTCTTACTGGTCGCTGTTGGGAGCTTAATCTCACAACTGAACCACTGAAAAGTCAGAGCTGTCATCTATGTTTCCACTGATGGTGCTACACGCTGAACCCGCGGTGCTGAAACTTTCCGCTTCGCTAAATGGCAGCCGGCGCAACCCGGGCCCATGGGAGTCGGCAGGTCTGAGCTTGTCCAGAACGCCATTCAGAGCTACCCTGCCGCTTCCTTGGGTTGGATGGATGAGCACTGGAGATCTGTAATCAATGAGCTTTCCTCCGATGTTTAAATCTTAAATGGGATTTATGCATGCCTATAATTCATGGTTACCTGCTACTGAGTAAATAATTAAATGGAGTTTACAAAGTGAATATATGTAAATGTATGTAAATGTCACCTATCAGAAATGGATTTACGCTTTGCATACCTCCCTGACACTGCTCCAAGGGGCATTCGCTCGCCGTCGAAGACGACTGCAGGCACCTGTTTCGCAGGCTCCTTCTCGGGCCAAACGCGCATGACATCCATGATGCTGCTAGTCATGCCTCAGAGGATGTCACGCATCGCAGGGTGCCCATCAGAACCAAATATCAACACCATTCAACACCTGTGCACTGCAATCAGAAAGGTCATCCCACTTGCAAGCGAGAAGCCCAAGACACCAACCACAGTATCACCTTACGTCCGCCAAGAATTGAGGCTGACCCATACCCGAAAAAAATCCGCTCTACCCGTGCCAGCGACGGAAGGTATCTTGCCCTACTTGGAATGGGTCTAGAAGCAAGGCAGATCGCGGTTGCTCATCGGGAAATCTGAATATATTATCTATTTACCTGTTCTTCATACCTATAAGTCTATTAGTACCTATTCAATCTATTCACACATTCATCATTTATTCACGATAAATATCGATAACTTCATCTATTCATTGCTCTCTTTGTTGCTGACCCTCGCTGACGCATGACATCCATCCAGGGCACCAATTTCCATCCACCGGGAGAGGTGGAGCGCTTGTACCGCCACCAGGCCATCTCTGAGAATGTTCCAGCCCTGTGCCTCGGGAGTCTGGGGAATCTTCCGTCAACCAGCCACATGTCGTGGGTAATGAGTGTTATTGTATAATATTGTATACCATCTGGTTATGACTAACATAGCCATGGAAAGAAAGATCCACCCATTTTCAATAGGTAAACCATCTATAAATGGGCCATGGCTTCCATGGCTATGTTAAATAACCAGAGGGTATATGTTAGTAATTGTTAGTAATACCGGAACTGTGGTTTATATTGGTCAGTAACAGCCATGGTCAATATTGGTCGAGGCACCGCACTTTCAAACACATATATTTATACAGTGGATGTACACAGCAACCCCAGCAAAAGATCGAAAAGGTCAACTTGCTAGGATAGACATCACTTTTCACCGTTCTATACGGTCTATACCCGTAAGAGCTGCTGATATCCCATTGCTGTCTGTAATGCCCAACGGTTTTGTGGAAAACACTTGCCATTGATGCCCATGTTATGTACCCCTCCCTATGTTGGTGGGATACCCAAAACCACAAAACCGTCAGGCTTCATCTCAGCACCTGGTGCTTCAGCCCACTTTGTAATGGGGTCTACTGGTTAGTCAAAAGGGCTTCTGACAGAGCTATTCAGAAAGGATCATCCTTTCTTAGGGAACTTTAATATCTTTAATTCACCAGATATGGACCATAGATTATTTAATATCATCATATATCATCTATGGTCTATCATGTTTAAAAAAAAAAAAACGGGCTTAGGAATTCACCAGATACCTTCGCCGTTTATGATCCAACCCTTAAGTGCCTCCGCAGATCGCCCGGTGGGCCCCGCCTTCGACTCGGTGCCTTCCGAATCATCCTTCAGCTTTCGCAGCCCGATGGTCCTGGGATAACGGGTGCGAATCAAATTCCCACTATATACCATCTGGTTATGTAACATAGCCATGGAAAATCCCTTATAAATGGAGGTTTTAATGGGAAAATCCTCTATAAACAATTACTAACAGTTCCGGTATTACAAACAATTACTAACATATACCATCTGGTTATTTGTTACATAGCCATGGCAAATGACCCATTTATAGATGGTTTACCTATCGAAAATGGGTGGATCTTTCCATGGCTATGTTAAATAACCAGATGGTATATAGTGAGAACCATTATATATGGGTGTTGGCCACTATCGCCTGAGCTGGAGCTCCAGATTCCGAAACAGCTTAGAACATTGACCTAGATGATTCATGATCCCATCCTGCTAGTGATAAAACTATTAGACAGGATGCCAAAATGAACCAATCATCACGAATCCAATACTCTTGATCGGAATGTTTATCATTCGGAGGTATGAATAAAACAGAGTCCAGATGTTTCAATGCCAATACCAGCATAATCCTTTGTCTCCCCTGATCTTAAATGCATGAACCATCCTTTATATCCTTTATCCGATCCCGTTTCTAGCATCAACTTCGGCGTCACGCCCAGGCACACAGAGATGAAACTGGAAATGGCCAGCCACTTGAGTCCCAGTTGGATGGTCTTGGAGCCACTCTTCACCCCACGGTGAACCTGCGAAGTTAGTGCAGGAACTGGAATTTTGAATGTTGTACTGTACTGTGGTGCTCATGAAGCCCAATAGAAAACCATACCAACTTTATTTTACCATATTTTACAATTTACCATGTGTCCTTTAGTAACTGCTCAATCACCTGCAAGCCCCCTATAATTATCAGAGCACCTGCTTCCACCATCCCACGTGGTCCACGACAAAGTATATCACGAGGGCAGCCTGAAGGCTTGAAAGCTGAATGGATGCGGCTGAAATGGATTGAACTGATGGGGAAAATCACCAGAACCAGCAGAGTCCTAGATGTTTTGCACCTTTTTCCTTTAGTCAAGCCAGTACATGACGGGACAACCAACGATTTTCTAAACTGGGTGCCTCCCAAAATCAGGATGCCCCGAGGCCAAAGTGTTTTCTGCTTCAGCCGAACCTGCCAACAGTACAGTGTATTTCATACTCTTTCAGATCCCCGTCTGAATAATTGTTGTATTGGTGATGATTTCCTTTTCCATGTCCATCACTGCTATCCCACCATTTTTGGAGATACCCATTGGGGAAACATTTGGAGACCGCGCCCACAGGGCAAAAGGCTGGAAAAACGTCATAAACGACCAATCAAAGTTGTAAACCAACCTGGAAACATCTGGAAACCCAAACATTAAGTGAACCAAACTGAAAACCACATGAAAAATGGAGGATAGCAGTTGACAGGAAGCCATGATGATGTTTGATCCACTCACCGCTGCCTTTTGTGTGAGCTCCAACACTTTGTCCCACAGGGATGTTTGGTCAGCGGTCATGGAGAGAATCACTGGAAGCTCTCCTCAGTTGACACAATGGAGTCACTGGAAGTAGGGACTCCACCAGTGTTGGCTGTTTCTCCTCATTGGAAAGTGGGGGAGTTCAGACAATGCGGTCAAACAATGGGCAAAAACGCAAAAGCTTGGGTTTCATTTTGGATGGTCAAAACTCGGAACGTTTCACTTTTTTTTTTCCCCTGCTGCATGACCCACTCTGCGTCTCACGCGCCAATGGACTTTGCCATTGGGGGAGGCTATGTACAGCCACAGCGGTCACCGCGGGAGGCGACTATCCGGTGGGCGTTCATGCCACCGGACGTCAGCCAGGGTCGCGGCGAACGGCGGGGGCTCCCCATCGACGCCGGGTGCGGCCGCGGCCGGGAGTTCGAGGAGAGTCTCGGCCAGGGCGCGCTGCGCCGCGACGGATAGGAGGCCGGCCCAACGGTGCACGTAGGCCTGAACTGCCGCCGAGCGGAGGAGTGCTGGCGCAGTGCGGGCGCGGGCGTGCGCCAAGGCTCGGAGGAAGTCGGCGGCTTCCTCGCCCCAACGACCTCCTACTTCGAGACCTAAGATGAGTAGGTGGCAGCGGCGCGAGCCGGAAAACTCGGGGTAGGTGTGTTCCCGCTTGCGCTGGGAGGCTGCCAGGATCGCCGCGCCCGGGTTCGCGTCGGAACCGTGGCGCACCTGTCCGGTGCGGCCAAGGGGGCTGACGAGGGTCACGTCGACTGCCAGCTGAGCCCCGTGCCAGAGCGGCAAGTCGTTTGCGAGGACTTCGATCTGGCGTGCGTCGGTGACCGGGACCGCGAGGTTCATGCGCGAGAGCGGCACGTTGACCGCGACGCGGGCACCGGCCTCGCGGCAGATGCGGGCGACCGCGCGTTCGATGGGCGCAGCTCGTGCCCGGAGGACGCCAGTGGTGGCGCATGCGGCACGGTGGTCGCCGTAAGGGTCGAGTGCCAAGCCACACCGACACCGGGAAGGGCCGCAGCTCAAGGGGGCTCGGAGCCGCCGTTGCAGCAAGGTGCGGAAAAGCGGGTTGCCGAGCTGGAATTCCGGGCTGGTAGGAAGGGTTGTGACTGCGCGGCCGCTGTGTGGGCCAGCCTGGGATAGGAGAAGCGCGCGCTCCGGAGGGGAAAGGTCAGATAGGAGCGCTGCGAGCTCGTCCAAGTCTTGGGCTGCACTGATGTCGCGCTGCCACCCCCGCAGGAAATCGCCCGGGGTCCGGTCTTCGTGCGAGAAGGTATGGCGGCCGCCGATGATAGATTCCCAGGGTGGGACAGTCGCCCCGCTGTTCCGGAGGAGATGGGCTGCCTGGGAGGCGGCGAGGATGCTGGGTGGTTGTGGGCGGGCCTCGCCGCTGAGGAGCTGGAGAAGGCGGTCCGCCACAAGAGGAAGGCGCGCGTGGAGGATGGGCAAGGTGTCGGCCCATGAGGCCCAATACGCGGCGAGGCGCGAACGGTGGGCCGAGCGCAGGCCGCACCCCCCCAAGCGCAATGGGAGTTGGGCCCGGCGTAGCTGCAGGTCCGAAAGGGCCGCGCCTGCCGCCACCAGGGTGCTGACGCAATGTGCCACCGCGGCGTCGTGGGCGGCTGCAAAGTCTGAGGTGTCCGCCGGTGGGAGGACGCGGAGGAAATAGTTGCTCCGGGGGGCTGCGCAGAAAAGGAGCAACAGCCAGGCGGCCTGCAGGTTCTCTACCCATGGGATGCGGTGGAGAAGGAGGTCTTGTTTGGTGCGGACCTCGGTAAGAGCATGTTGCACGTATTGCGCGCTCCCAATGGGGGTGCCCAGGACCTGGAGGCCTTGCGCCGAAGGGGGCAGAGTCCAGTCGCCGACCCAAACCCGGTCGTTGCTGTCAGCTGGCTGCAGCTCTGGGAGGTGGCACGGCTCTTCCCCAGCCGCATTCCAGATTCGGGTCTTACCTTGGTTGAGTTCGATGCACGCGTGGCCTCGGAGGGAAACGCGCAAGGTGGAATAGAGCGCGTGGGTGCGGTCAGGCGACGAAATGACATAGATGTCATCGAGGAAAGCAAAGAGCGCTTCCCCGGACCGCATCGTGGCCGCGGTCTCTTGCAGCGCAGGGTGCTGGGCAAGCGCAAACAGGGCAGGCATGAGCGGGTCGCCTTGCTTCCCCCCTTCAGCTTGCTGAACGGAGTGGCAGGCGCCACTAGAGTCCCACCAGAGGTAGGTGCTGTCTTGGCCGTAGAAGAGGCGGGCGTAGGGGAGGAGGGGTCGAAGCGCAGGGGAGCGGAGAAGGCTGCCGAGCATCGACTGGCGTCCGACATGATCGAAAGCGCCGACGCCGTCGACCGACAGCACGGTAGCGCGGGGGTCGAGCTCGGTCGCGACCCGGACGGCGCGTGCGAGGTCTTCTGCTCCGGCTTTGGTGCTGAGGGCGTACTGAAAGGGGTGGCACGCCTCTTGGAACTGGGCTGAGAATTGCTGCGCCAAGGTCCGGCCGACCAGCCGGCGGAACACGTCGCTCATCACGAGGCCGCGCACACGCCCGTTGCCTTTCTGGAGGGCAACAAGGCGGCCGACTCGGAGGCCGTCCATAATGAGGGGAGGCACCCGCGCCGAGGCCAGGAGCGAGGCCGCGTCGCACAGGAGGCGGGAGTCGGATTCAGACTCGAGCAAGACCCGCAGGTGCTCATTGGTGCAGCCAGACGGACCAGCGGCCGCCCCGCGGCGGGCCCGGCGGAGGTTTTGCAGGAATCTGGTGGCATCGACGTGGAGCAGCTCATCGGGCTGGAAAGAGGCAACGTCGTCCGAGAGGGGTCGATGCCGGACTTGCGGGCGCCGGGACGGGTTGCGCAGCTCGGCCAGCGTGGCGGACGAGAGCGGCGCGAGGGGCTCGGCCACTAGCGACCGGGCAGCCGCGGAAAGTTCCCCTTGATGTGCCAGGCTGGCTGCACGGGAAGCACGCGCGTCAGCAGAGGGGACGCTCGAGGACGGCGCTGTGGGGTGGAAGCTGCTGGCAGCTTCGCCGAGCAGCTGGTGCCACTGGCCGTTCCGGAACATAGTGGCTCGGCGGTCGAGGTCGCTGGGTTCGGCGCGCTCCCCGGGACGGGACCGGTAGCAGAGCATCCGCGGGGCCAGGAGGAAGAGCTTCCAGCCACGTGCTTGGGCAGGGTCCGTGTCGGCGGGGTGGTCGCAGATTTCGGTGAGGCCCAGGCGGAGCGCAAAGGCAAGGACCCCCTGCAAGCGCCGGGGCGCACCTTGGAACGTCGAGACCCGCACCCGCAAGGTGTGGGCGAGGTCGAGGTCGTCAAGGCTGCGGAGCGCTTGTTGGAGCCGAGCTGCGGGGTTTGGAGAGGGCGAAGGCGGGGGAGGCGGAGGGTCTGGGACCTCGGCAGGTTCTGCGGGAGCAGGGTCCGCCGCGGCTGCGTGTCGTCCACGCCCGCGGCCGCGACCGCCGCGGCGCGGCGGGGGGCGGTGGGCACGGGCCACCTGTTGGGCCAGAGCCCGGACAGTGGCCAGCTCTCTGGGCGCCGAAGTCTCGACCGCGGGATGCACGGGGCCGGGATCGGCAGGGAACTGGATGGGCGCCGGAGGGTCCGGGCGCGCTCGGAAGGTGTCCGAGTGCCGGTCGAGGTCGGCAGCAAGGTGAAGGCCACCATAGAGTTGGAGAAGCACTTCTTGGCCAGCGGCGGGGACGTACGCGTCGGGGTCGCAGAGGTGGCGAACTGCCCAGCCCAGATGCGCTTGGGCACCTGGCGGGAGCGCGGCCGCCTGTCGGGAAAGGCGCTGGTGCGAGGGAAGCGCGCCAGCAGCTGGGCAAGCGTGGAGGGCTTCCAGGAGGGTGGTGAGGGGGACGGGGGGCGCGGCAGTCAGCGCTTGCCGGGCGCGCTCCCACCACCGTGTGGTGGCGGTGGCTTGTTGCCAGGCCAAGGCGGCATCCTCGTGGAGCTCGCCTGTCGCGGCGAGGAGCAGGGGCACATACAGCCAGGAGTTGGCATCCGTCCGGACAATGCCACTTGGGGGGCCGCGCTGGCGCCAGGCGGCCACGCCCCTGGGGCGGGGAGAAGGGGGCGGCGTGGCGCGCTCGGGCTCGGATTCTTGGAAGGGGTTGAAGTGGAGCCCGTGGCAAGTGCTGCTCAAGCTGGCATCGAGCGCTGGGTCCCAGGCATGACGGCACAGAGGACATCGTGGAGGGTGCACTTGCGCGCGGGATCTGGCGAGGCAGGCGAAATGGTAGGCATGCCGGCAGCCGGGCCAATGCACGACCGCCCGGCGCCCCACCCCGGAAGGGAGTAGGGGCTCGAGGCAGGTGCAACATGTGGGCGCGGCATGGGCGCCATCGGTAGGAGCGGTGGGGGGAGGTGCGTCCTCGCCGTCACTGAGGACGACGGGGGCGGGTGAGACATCCGGGAGGGTGGACCCAGCTGCCGTGGTGGCGCTAGGGTGAAACGCTTGAACCAAAACGACTTCGTCACCGTCACCATTGTGTGTATTTTCGGCCCGTGCCTCCTCCCGATCACAGTGCGGCCAAGGCGCCGCCATGAGCAGCGGCCAAGCGGTCTCTCGCAAGCAGCTATGGCGTCAGGCTCGCCCGGTCTGCTGTCTGCTGTATGTTAGTTTTTTTTTTTTGTTTTTGGGTCTGTGGCGAAACCTCGGTTTTCCTTTGTTGTTGTGATTTTTTCCTTTTTTTTTTTTCTCCTTTTCCCAGGGGTACCGGTGGTGAGAGATGTGGGTGGAGTGAAAGGTGCGTCCGGCTGCTCAAAGGGCCTGGGAGTTGCCGCGCTGCCTTGAAAGGATGGCGCGCAGCAGAGGTGGGGGCGGGGAAGGAGGTGGCGGGGGGTGGCGGAGTGCCGGCCGCCGGGGGGTGGCGTGGGGTGCCTGCTGCCTTGAAAAGCGGAGGGCGCAGGCGGAGCCGACCGGGTCAGCGGAACGGGGAAGGCCCCGTCCGGGCAAAAGGGTTGGCGGAGATTGGGATGGGCCCGGGTGCCGTGAAGGCAGTGACCGGTGGGCTGGAAGTCCTGCGAGGAGGAAGGCCCTGGCTTGCGCGGACGGCGCGCCCGGCACGGTGGCTACGGCGCGTGGGCCGACGGCCGGGTGCTTGGGGAAGGCGAGGCGCGGGTGGGGGGCCACGCGCCGCAGGGCGCGCCGGCGGGCGGTGCGCCGGTGGAGGAAGAGGAGGCTCGGGCTCCACCGGGATCTCCTCGAACTCCGCCGCAGCCGAGGGCGAAGAGGGCGAAGGAGAGCTCTCGGGAGGGGGCGCCCGGCGCGGGCAGAGGCGAGCACGGGGGGGCGACCCCTGGGAGGAAGAGCCACTCCCCCGAGAGCGGGAGCGGGAGGGGGAAGGGGGGCGACGGGCAGGGGGTGGAGGCGCCGCCGGGGCGGCTGCCGGGGCCCCGGGGGGGGCAGGTGCCGCCAAAGCGACCTGCCCTCCCAGCCGGAGCCAGGTGCCACGGACGGGCGACCTCGACCCCCTGGAGGGTGAGGATCGCCGGTTCCATGAAGGGGCCGGGGGCGCGCCGGCGCGTTCGAGCCTTGAGCCAATTTTTTTTGGTTCAGGGCAACCAACTTGGCTAAAATGAGTTGGTTTGCAGCTGGTAGGGTCAGCAAGTCTTTCACCCTAGATTGAGCAGAGCGACCAGCTTACATGAGACTAGTGACTAGTTGAGAACTTCAAGAAGAAAACATGTAGTGAAAACTCAAAAATGATCGTGAACTGGCTCGCATTATACAGCTAACAACTAGAAATGTGGCAAACCCAATTCTAAACCCCAATTTGAATCATAATTTGACCATAAATAAATATCCAGCAAAATGGTGTTCTATATTTTCACCATCCCCCAAAAAATGGTAGTTCTTTCTCACCATAAAGGGTGAATCTCACCATTTTTTTCGCTGCCAGTGGCTGCCCAAACGAAAGGTTCTTCGTGCTGCAGTCATGGCGGCCAAGAGCTTCCGCGTTTCCTCGCGGAAGCGGAGCACCGCATCTCCCCGTGCCTTGGTTTTGTGCTCAGCCACGGGAGGAAAACATGGGGAAAGCATGGGGAAACCATGGGAAAACATGGGAAGAATATGTGAATATATGTGACATATGGAGCAAATCAAACTAACTTCAATGCTTGAAATTTGTTTCAGAGAAAACGTGGGAAACCAAGAGCCAGCAGTGGATGCAAATGGTTTATTGTTGTTTATAGACGTGTGTAGAGGGAATTGATGCTTCTTTGTGCAATCCACCAGTTCATGGTCTAGTTTTCTAGAGAATCTAGAGTATGGTTGGACAACTCTCGCGACAATTCTTGGAAATTCTTGGCATTTGAAAGGAAAGTGCTGCGCACATCACTTGCAGACAGCAGACACGAGCCAGTAGTCCCACAATGAAGCGCGCGGCAAACTGAATGAACCGTGCGGTTTTGTCACGCCCCTCGTACCTGGGCATGCCGCATTGCACAGACAGTCTGTCTTGGGCCACTCAAAAGATTGCGAAATCGAAATGACTACCCGGCTACCCTTAGCCATTTAAGTTGGATAATTGCTCCACTATGCTCCACTTACATATGTTGCATCTCATCCTGATAAGTTGCAAAGATTTGCAACGCATGGGATCCTGGCATTTGACACTGAGCTAGCAGACGTCTGGAGTACTGTGCTGATGTTGGCTAGTGACAACCTCGGCAAGGTGCGGGTGCAACCGCATGACTGGATCACTGCATGACTGAGATTTGGGAGGCAGGACGGTCCCCAGGGTTGTGGCATGAAATTCTTGCAGAGGGAGGGAGGGAGGGAGGGAGAGAGGAAAAAACAAACAAACAAATAGCATGCCCCAACTTGGCGCGCTCCCAAAATCCGCTAGTTTATCCCATTTTTATGGAACTGCAGGTGCTCATAATTCTACTTGCTGTGCTACTATAAGATTGAAAATTTACCTTCACCGGGAAATCTAAAACCTCAAAATGCCAGCCAGGAGTCAGCAAGTTCCCATCCCAGCCAACCCTATGTTTTGGACATGTTTGGTGAGGCTCCACCCTTCAGCCGGGCAGCTGTGCAGGTGGCATGGTCCCCTTTTTTGCGCGTGTCAGCTGGGATCAGCGGGGAACAACCATACCACTGGGCCCAAACGCAACGGCAGCATGCACCAAGAAAATGCTGCAGCAGTCTGGATTTACATACCTGTAATTTACCTCCATTCCAGGGGCAATGTCCAGGATAAAATGAGATGAAATAGGATGATTTAAAAATAGTGCATGACATTGCATGACATCTCCGGGCTAAATAAACCAGAGCTTAAGACGGGCATCAGCCCCAAACACTCAACAACTGTGAGCACACTACAGGCTCTCCAGAGCCTCCAGAGAAGCCAAAGGATGAGTTCCCAGCCTCCATCACGGGGATATGAAGGCTATCCGCCAGTCCCGGCGGTAGTGGCCCGATGTGTCCATCCGCATCCACAAAGACTCCACCACATCCTGGGATGACAGTCTCATGGCAGGGCTCTGAATGTGGTGGTAACCAACGCTTTGTAAACCCTTGGCGAGCCTGAAATCCGTGCGTTCCTCCAGAAGCCATGGTATTCACTCTTGTCGGGCCTGGCTGCCACACTGGCCAACACTGATGCATCAGAAACATCCTGCATGGTTCATAGCATGTTACATGTTTCTCCAATTTGTCACTCATGGGATATGCATCTAGATATATCATGATATATCTGGATTAAAATTTGGAGCCCGAAAATCGGCTGGCCGCACAAGCTGCATCTGCCCGCAGCAAATATTCCGTGGAATTCGACAGTCTTTTAAGCCACAAAACCTTGGGGTCCCTGCCAGCTAAAGGTTCCGAAGCCAGAGGCTACGTCAAGCTGGTAATGCCCTCGGTGTTCGCCTTGGAAGAAGAAGCTGCTGCCATCCACTGATGGATAAAAATTTCATGCAACCATCCTAGACAGTCGCAATCCTGAAATAACCAGCAAGATGCCTTGAATGCCAAAGTCTACGCTCTGCAAATCTAACCTGGCAATCTTTTTTATACAGAACCCTACCCAACCTACCAAACCCAACCAACCCAAACCTCCCCCCCCAAAAAAAAAACATCAAAATGTTCCCCCCATCCAAACCTTGGTCTTCTCATGTCTTCTCCCTCAGGTCGGCACTGCCATCTGGCCATGTGAAAATTCCTCTGCCGTGCTTCTTGGCGTGCAGAAACTGCCCGCGGAAGCTGCGCTTTCCGCCCTGGGAGGTCAGGACACCATAGCCCGAGGAGATGCCCGCGCGCCACCTGGGAAAACTCCATGGGCGGATGGCATAGGGAAAACCTATGGGCCCGTTGGACCAATTTTGAGGCAAAGCTGGGCATCGCACTGGCCCACATAGCGACTGCCTTCATCCCATTCTCCAATGCCCAAACCCTCCTGGGATGGGATCAGAATCTGTCCAAGCATTAAGATGAATATAGATGAATTCACGTTTGCCCTGTCCCGCCTTCTGCCCTCGGCAGAATTCGCCCCAGTAGGTGGACCCCTGTGGACACAGGCATGCCATATCTTGCAGTCTTGCATCATCTGGTCATACCAAACCTGTAACACTGTAAGTTGCTTCAAGGCTTTGTTGTATAATTACCCCCATTTATGGCAGTTTTCAATAGGACAAGGATGATTATTGATGATTCATCCGTGGAATTTGCGGCTTCCCACCAAACTCTGAGCTTCGGGCTGGGCCATAGTCATTTGTTGAACCTTGGAGAATGTGGAGACTCCTCCAGTAATCAAACATGTCTACCCGGGAAATCCCTTATAAATGGGAAATTCATTGGGAAAACATGCGAAAATCATCGCACTATGTTTGGTCACCGGAGGGTGTGACCAGTCATTGCAACAAAGTTGGGTGTCCAAAAATTCACCTGTTTCATCTTGGGAGACTCGCATTGCATAGGAGTGCCCCTTAAAGCTGTCCCAACTGCAAGCACCACATTTCACTGCGTTGGAACGTGAGATTCCATGACAGAATCCTACCCCTGCATCGTGTGTGCGCATCACATTGAAGCGTGTCCACAACAGCAGACTATCCTGCCGCACAGAAGGGCAAATAATTAAAGATTGATGCGAATTTGCCGAGCAGTTCCACTGCATCGGACCTATTTAGATACCCGAAGCGACTGGTGTCACAACTGGTCTGTGCCAAACTCCTTCAGCAGTGGTTCACTGGCAGTGAGACTGGAAGATGGAGTGGTCCAACTGACAGAGCCACTGCTTCCTTGGAATGTCTAGGCAGTCTTTTTGCCGGCGCCGGCCTGCAGAACTGCAGCGACAAAACTTGAAGCTCTTTGAAAAAAAGAAGCTAGCAGGGTCTTTTATATAATTGATATATACATTAGGTGCATAGAGAGAGAGAGAGAGTAGATATAATATGTATATATATATATACACATATGTGTGTGTGATTATATATGTATAGACAACTGCATTATACCCACTTATATAATTACAGGACAACTGGCAACGCCAAAGGATGATTCCAGGAGTCAGTGTGTATTCAGATTATTCAGGATGTGGATGGGATTGAAATGGATTGAATGCATCCAACTGCTTGTGTTTTATGATGTTGTCATATGTTGTCTCCTGATTGAGACGTATCATGTGGATTCATGTGGTGTGTATACCCCAGCTACTACCTTGACAACCACCCATCTCTCTCAGTCGGTTTTTCATCCACAAACGCCTCGGTCAGAAAGTCCCGAACCGTTTGCCGCTTCAGCACTGTGGCAAGGCCCAATGCAGTCCTGGGCGCGGCTTGCGGCTAACACTGGCATGAGTGATCAGAATGTGTCGATCAACCAGCCATGTGCGTACGGGTTAAAATGGTGCATCTTTGTAATTCTTTGTATCTTCAATATTAATGTGCCCCTTGAATGGTACTGCACCCTGATTTTGGAGGTTGGTTGCGTCTCTGGATGATACCGGCTCAGCAACCACAGCACCAGACTTAGACCCCTGCCAATCTATTCGCAAAATTTCGCAAATGGGTGACTACTCAACCAGGCGCGAAAAGTTAGATCTGTACAGTGATATTGCCGAGTGGCATTCCATCCTCATCTTTCGCTTGAATGTTGGCCCCATTGACCACAAGAAAGCGGACCACATCTGGCGAGAAAATCATGACATGGACTGCCAATGGATCCCTCTTGGCGTATGGGAAGGTTCCCCTTTTTGCGGTAGATTTGTGGGCATGTGTAGGCAGAGAGAGAGAGAGGGAGGGAGCGAGAGAGAGAGAGACAGAGAGACAGAAAGGAAGAAACAGAGAAACAAAGAAACAAAGCAAGCAAGCAAGCAAGCAAGAAAGAAAGAAAGAAAGGACAACAAAGGATAATCGGCATCACCGCATCGTAAATGTAAACATATGTAGACATACCATACCTGCATGATTCTGTTAACACATTTGCAGCGTGCCCCATGGATTTCTTGTCGGCCAGGTCCTCAACAAACTATCTGCCGCCATTGCTTCAACAAACGTACCAATGGCTTGAGCGGCAAAGCATGGAACCGGCTACTCCCACAAGGCTCGAGTTACTACGAGGGATTGAGATCGCAGCCTTGTTCTGACATCCACCAGTTCAATACATTTGGATACATTTGGTGCATTTACACATCAATGACATGATACCCTCCCAACTAAGTCACACATCATATGAATTCATATGGGTATGGATCAATACCTATTAATACCATTTTTAGTGGGATGAACATCCATTTAGCAGCTATTTTGATGTTCACCAGGGGTACCAGGGTTTTGACCCATAGCCATATGACGGTATGTGGTGTTCCCAACCCACTCATGGCACCTTCATTCCCATTGACGGCTGCCCAAAGCAACGGTGTCAGCTTTCCATTGTCTTGTGCTTCCAAGTTGGCACCAAACTCCACGTAAACCCGAAGCACATCTTTGGGAGGCTGCCATGGGTCAAGTACGGATGGCAGGTAGCTGGGATGCAATGTAGGGGTTACCAATGGGTCATGGCAATGGAACAGGCTCTGGCTCGAAATGTTGAACGTTGTTGTATGTTTTTGTTTGTTTCTTTGGGGTGGAAAGCTTTCATGCGTGGAAACGACACATCATTCCCATATTGGTGTGTCTCAAAATGGGGGATGCCCGGTGGCAATTTTCAAATGGCCATGAAGATGATGATTCAATTACACCATGGCATTCTGGAGTTCCGTATTTTGAGAATCTGCCAATGATTTCTGCTGCCATCAACATACCCCAAATGCTCCATGTATCTCAATGTCAGGTACGGCTGGCAATTCTCTGGGGGATTCGAAGGATATTCTTATGGGAACAATGGGAGGGCCGGTTGGTACATCACATCTGCTACCATCCACCTATTGGATACTATGGGTTGGCAAAAAACAAAAGGCTACCCCTCTATAACCCGCCATCAATCCCAAAAATTGGAAAATAATTCATCCCACCACAGAAAAAACATGAAGAATCATGAATCATGAGACATCAATTAAAAAACGCATACAAATCATCTCATGAACCAGAGCTTCCAGATTGCCATAAGCCGCAGCCAGGGCCAAGGGCGTCCTGCCAGTGTCATCAATGGCCTCCAACTGAGCGCCGGCCTCCAGTAGAAGTTGAGCACTGTCAGCATCGTTCACCACCTTCGGCTGCAGAATCCCAGGAAGGAAACGGACCAATCTCTTGAAACTGTAAACCATGCGATGTCATGCAATCGATCGAATACAGGTAGAAATTAATGTAAATATACATGTAGATGCACATGTATGTGTATATGTATACTTGTACATACGTAATATATTTATATATATATATTATATATATATATTATATATATATATCATGCGATCTACGTGATGCGATGGAACACAAAAGCGCAAAAGCGCAAAGCGTAAAGCATCGCAGAGAGTACCATGTTCGGACGAGTGAAGCCGGCCCGTGGTGTGATCTTTTGATGTCGCCAACCCATGGGCATCCAAATGCATCCAGGCACACTGTCCCCTCAACGGCACTGAAAAAGTGTTGACTCGTGACTATGGGCAATGGATTATAATTCATGTTGAACAAAATTGAACAATCAATCACCCAAGAAAGTTGATCGGTGAGGTAAAGCCAAAATAAAAACCAATATAAACCATCCCAATTTGACTCTCGACCCCCTGGAGCTGGCTTCTCTGCTGGTTGAAACAACCGGGTTACATGTCCCCAAGAATGGGCTGCAACGGTGCAAATCCAAGGAAACGGCGACAAGCAACACAATATACGAACATTAAAACACCAATAAACACACACACACATATTTATATATATATATACATATATATATATATATGTATATATATATATATATGTATATATGTGTATACATATACATATTTAAGATACAGTAATTTTAATAATATAATCATGGTGAAAATTGCTGAAAATTGGTATGTTCTTTTGAACTCGGCTGTCCCAACCGACCGAGGAGCAGCCGCGCAGGCCAGGGCCGTCCTGCCCTTGCTGGCGATGGCTTCCAAGGGCGCGCCTTCCATGTGAACTGGGCTTGGATCTGGAACCAACGGGCGATTTTCTGTGGAAAAAATATTGGTACCCTCTGGTAATGGCTAACATAGCTATTGAAAATGGCCATAGAAATAGTGGATTTTCCCATTAAAAATTGTGATTTTCAATAGCTATGTTAAATTGCCAGAGGGTAAATATCATGGATAATATATGTATCTAATGATCATTGATGCCAATAATCTATTTATTTATAATGATCATGGATTAAATATTGGCATATCATGAAATCAATAAGTAATAAATCATGAGATGCATCACTATAAATGATGTTAAACCCATGATAAGTCATGCCAGACCAATTATGATATCTGCAAAACCCATCCACTTATATGAAGCATTATGACTAATATCAAATCCCATTATATATCAAGGTTATTATCACTATTATGATAGATCCGTTGAAGCAAAACCCATCCACTCCGGGATGTTCTGATAGGTGCAGCCACGAACTTCGGCCCAAGCCTGAGTCCAGCAGCATCGGCACGGCATCTTTCCTTGGGAACCCCATAAAGTTCCTGTTGGAAAAAATATGCTAATGTAGGTTAAAATGATGATATATGATATATATATATATATATTTATTATATATATATTATATATATATTATATATATTATATATATATATCTATATTATATATTATGGTAATATCAATCTCGTAATATCAATCTAACATCATGTCATGTCAGCCCTACTCCGAGTCGGTATCAGACGTCATCTCCCAAGTTATCCCAGTTGACCTTTGAACCCGAGGCTACCCTGATTTTCGCCTGAGATCCTCCCCTGGACCACAGCAGCTGCCAACAGCGCATCCTGCGAAATCTCCACATATTTCGGCAGAGGAGCCTTGGCAAAATGCCCAGCGGGCTTATGGGTCAAGTCCTTAAGGTACCAATGGACTCAATGGACAAGTGCCTGGTATTGGCTGGACATGTTTAGACATAAAATGGCTGGTGATGTTGATCTGATAATACTAAATCATGTCAATACTAAATCTGTTAATGGATGATAATGGATGTTAATGGTAATTTACTATCTGTTGGTACTAAATCACATTGAATCATCCGTCTTTGGGGGGCTGACCAACTGTTCATCGCAGCGTTGATGCCGCTGGGGCCAAGGTCATCCCGCAAGGGATCTCTCCCCGTAGTGCATATACATTTACAATGATTTAAACACCTCATTAGCCATTGGCTAATCATGCATGATCATGCAAATTCATTTAAACTGGTGTGTATATATATATACACATACACACACATGCACATGTATCTGTCTGCATGTGTGATTATAGTCGACATTTTTTTCCCATCTCTGTGGCATCTGCAGCATTCTGCAGCCCTATGGTAGCCCAAATGGCCGCGCCAAGAAACCCCTCCCTCTGTCTCTGCGCGACTGCGCGGTCTTTGGCGTTGAGCTGGCGACTTCCAGGCGGGTCCTGCAGCTGGGTGTCCAAGAATTTTCCGGTGGATCCATCCTAATATGAGTGTTGACCAAAATGGGAATATGATTCAGATCATGCCAAGAGTCGCGAGATCGAGGTGAACGACTCCTGGACCACTTGAGTCGATCCAAATTGACAGTTGTTTCGGAAACTGCACCCCAAACGTCCAAAAACACAATAGATCTTGCATGGTTTTGCACATCATGAGATAATCATGAGTCAATGGCAGGCCATGGCAGTGCCCAATGACTGGCTGACAAAATGACCCCAGGTGATATCAGCTTAGCCACAAGCACTGGAGCTACAACTTGGACCAGGATCAGGATGCACAGAAGGGTCGCAGGTCGCATGGCGGCACGAAAAACGGGAACTCGCTGCTGGGGGAAGTCTCTCAAAAGGAAAGGGAGCATCATGATTCAACATGATTCAACGGTGTTTTGCATTGATCTATCTCATATAAATAAGTGATTAAGTGATATGTTATGTATATATGTATAATTATATATATGCATGTGCGTGTGTTTGGATGATCTTTGGTTGATCTTGTATGTGCTTTTGTGTGCATATAAAATCAATGCATCTCTCTCTCTCTCTCTCGCTGTCATCAGCAGGACTTGCCTCTCAAATGCCATTTGCTGCTCCATTTGGCAAAGGCTGCAAGATGGAAGAGGTAATGGTGATCTCATGCTATGATAATTCGGTCCAACGATACATGTGGTTTTCACCAACAATAACGATCAAGAATGGAGGGCATAAGACAAACCATACACTCTATATAATGTGAATATTGAATGGGGGCATAATGGAAATCTACTGTACTAGTAGGTTGTGGTAAAGCCCAAAACCATCAACCACCCTCCATGACTCAACTGTAATATACTGTAATACACTGTACTGTAATGACTTTCATCAACTGTATAACCCCTCCCCAATGGGAGGGAGATCGGCTTACCACATTGCTCATCCTGCCTGCCCGAGATTTAACATGATTTACGGTAACATTGAACTTGAACCAAAAATTTGTTCATATCCGGTGCCATATTTTTCAGCCTTCATCTCTCTGTAAGCTCTGCAGGGAAATTCTTTGATCTCCCAGGCAAATCTCCATCTACTGGCCCTTCCGATGGTGCCCAAGGTCACGGCATCCATGGACCTTGTCAAGCTGAAGTTTCTTCTGGCTCTGGGGTTCAGCAGCCAAGCAACTTTGTTTTGAAACATCTCGATCATCTCGAAACATCTTGGAAGCGCCGGGCTCACTATGCTCACTTTGGCAGCACCACACCAAAGGTCTGGCTCCCAAAAAAGGTCAAATACGGCTGCTGCCGGTCTTTGGGGCAGAAGATCTTCCCATCCCAGTGGCTGCAGCGGACGTATGCCGCCAAGGTCTTGCAGACCAAGACATGATGGGCGTCCTGCCCCGATGCTGCCGTCACGTCCGCCTCGAGCTGGAGCACCAAGTGGGCGATGCAACCAGCGACGGCGAAGATTGGAAGATCCTCCGGTTCGTTCGGCCATCCGATGCCAAGATTTCCAAGATTGGTGGATTTGTATGGCTAGTTATCGGGAGTTATCGGGATTATCATTGGTCCTTGTAAAATGGAAAGCACACTGGGACCATCTGGGACCAGAGGGCAGTCCTCCGGCTGTTCAGGGGGCCAAGTCAAAGACTTCCAGCCTGGCCGGCAATATCCACCCAAAGGGGCCGAAAATCGCTTCACTTTATCCACCGATTCACCACTGCAGGCTCCGATGGCTAGAAGCGTTTCTGCCAGGTTCGCAGGGGGGACGTTGAGCACGAAGGTTTTGTGATGAAGAACCCCTGCAGCAGAGTGCCGACGTTTGTTGATGGAACACATCAAGCGGCCTTGATTATCCAGAGGTGTTAGCCAGCTAATGGTCATTAGATTCCGCTGCAACCGTTCGTTGCAGGAGCTCAGAATACACACAGGGTTGGTGTAGAGTAATCGACTGAACTGTGCAGCTTTCACCTCACAAATGCCCTCAGTGCCCTCAGGGTCACTGCAGTTGGGACGTGTCTGGCGTGTCCGGTCGCCGTGAGGGACTTCGCTCTGCGGCTTGCCTTTCCACAACTTGACTGCCAGCTGGGTGACCAAACCTGGTTTACCATCTGAGCCCAGGATGAAAATTGAAAATAATTGATAAACATGCTTGAACATATATGTAATGTATATACATAATATAATATATATAATATATAATCAAGTATAATTATAATCAATTAAAGATCAATTGTAATACAATATAATCAATTACAACGATGTGTGTGTGTGTGCGTGTGTCTGCATGTATCATCATGCACATACAATATTTGAAAGCAGCACGACACCTCGGAGTTGCTTCACCGGATCACTCCGGAAGAGCTTCTCATCATTCAGCAGATCTGTCAGAAGCTGTTCGCACGCCGCCAGGTTGCACAATAGATCTGAAGCATCAGCACTAGGCTCCAATGCCATGATGAAAACGCAGCGGGCTGAGATAGAGATATGAGCACGAAAACAATCAGTCGACCACTCAAACTCAATTCTTACAGTGTTGCATCAAATCCCTGAACCTGGATAGACAAGGGAAACGCCTTCTTTTCAGGGGGGGCGCGGACCCAATCGGAACAATTGTTCATTCAAGACACCAAAAATAGCCCTACCCCATCTCATTGTACCAGTTGGTTGATAGGTTTCCCTAATCTAATATGGGTTATCATCCCGCATAGCCATTAGCCAGGTAGAATAATTCCCTCTAATAACCCATCTAACAATGGTATTTTTTCCATGGCTCATTTATTGTTTGGGGATAGGGCGGATAGGGGCTATGGCCGCCCAAAAGTGCAGCCAAGGTGCAGGTTTCTACGCCAACACCATCTCGATGACCGTGAACCTCCCGTCAAGAATCCAGCTACGAAAGGGGGAGCCCACGACCCATCAGGAACCAAAATGGGGAAACCCATTGACCCAGGAATTTGGTAGCCCATTCAGATGAAATTCAAGCATCCAAAGTGGGCTGCAAATGAAGTTATATTCAGACATATCATTGACATATCAGTCAACACAAGAGGAACCAACCCTCTTAAACATCCAAATAGGGGCTGAACGGCTGAAGCCTCAGTTCCACTAAGTCTAAGTATGTCTAAGTCGCACACCCACTCCCCATGGTAGGATGATCCATCCGCCAAATAGTGAGCTCCATAGCCTTGGCCGAGCATCACCTGCTGGTGAGTTGTGGCTGCTGTTGGGCTGTTGGCTGTGCCTGAAAAAACCCTGTGACACCTCCCTTGCACCCAAAACGCTATGCACACCACTTGACATTCTGTGAGAATCCCATCTGGATCAACCACTTTCCTGCATGTCCGTGCCGTGCTGGATACTGAGGAATCAAACCATGAAAGCGGTTTCCACGCCATTGGCCCAAGTAGACCTTGGAACTCCCACGGGTTTCCTCCTTGATGTCACCCAGTCACCTCAGGGCCTTGCAGATCCATCAGGGAACTTGAATCGACCATACCTCAGGTGCTGCCATTGCGCGGCCGGCGATGCAGCACGGCCAATCGACAAGAAATAGGAGATCTGAGATGGAGACCCAGAAGCTGAGCTATTGGACCTTCCCAATTTTCCAGTGGCCGGTAGCAAAATCATAGTTAACAGCATCAAGAATGAGCTGCCCTCCAAAATTCAATGGTTCATCATCACTTTGCCTATCAAATTTGCTACCAATTGGAATGCTATATATATATACATATAACAACACACATATATGATACAATTGCACATAAAACTACAAACAACGTAATAGGAATATATACATGTATACATTTATCATTTATGTACATATGTGCATGTATACATACAGTATGTATATATATATACATACACATGTTCAATGTGTGTATATCTTATCTTAGGCAAAGCCCACCAGACACCAAGGAGGTGTGAGCTTCCAACCAGCAACCCTCATACTGGGCTCCATCTGGCCTAAGGAGGGCATCACAGGCTGTCATTCAAAATCAATAGTTGGGAAGGGTATAGCTAATCTATGTACCATCTAGATGCAGTCCATTTGTCTTGGGCAAATCATCTTGTATCTTAAATATCTATAAATATTTGTAGTATACATGTATATATATATATGTGTGTGTGTGTAACATCTGGATAGATGTAAAACTTCCTTCTTCTTTTTTCTTCCCTCTTCTCCCTTTTTAAATAATGCAGGGGGACACAGCATTTCACTGGGACTGTGTCCGACGAAGCTACCAGTGAAATGGGATATCCAGCTTGGCCAGCTGGACGTACCTGCATTTTTCGTTGCAATTTTGACTGACATGGCACGCGGCCAAGCCTAGAACCGCACAGCTGTATTTTCACTTCACGGTTGTCGCAATCTGGTACTTAATTTCTGTTATCAACATGGCGATCCTTATTTTTTGGATCTGCACGTTACAGGATGCAGTTCCTGCCGGATCATATAATGATCCATTCTTATCTAGTGTGATTCCTATGGTGACTCCGACATGGTGCCATAGGGCCAATTGAGGCAACCCTGTTTGGGGTGAGTGTCGACTGACTTGAATTCCGGATTTACACATTTTAATCTGGTAATTCGCCTAAGTAAAGTGCAACAGTTGGCCTTACCGTTGTGCACCTTTTCACAAAGTCTCGCCGATCCGGCTGTCCCAGGGTTCCTCGCCAACGCAGCTCTTCAACTTTGCAGCCGTGCCGAACATCCAGAAACCTCCTTTTTTCGCAGCAGCTTTTACAGTCACATTACAAGAGACAGAACGCAGGCAGGTACACGATCTTTAGGTGTGGTCTTCTTTCTTTTGATGGTTCTCTGGTGAGGTGAAACATATTGTGCACCTAATTCGCTGGAACTTGAAAGCCGTTTATGCCAATTGGGGCAAGACTTGACCACGGTCCCGGCAAGGGAATAACGCACGACATCTAGGTAGTTAGGAACTGAATCCTGTCTTTAATTAATTGTTTTGGTTTTCTTGTCTGTCATCAACTAGTCCCCCATTTGGTCCCTAATTTTCCCCGCGTGCCTCTCCGTAATGTGTCGTGGGGTTTAAGTGTGTGCGCTGTTTTGGTCAGGTCCGTTTCGCCGTGTAGGTTGGTTCCGGAGGGTCCGTCGTTCTGTGTCCCCTCCCCCCTCTGTGTGTTTTTGGCCGTTTGCTCGTCGTGTGTCCGCTTTTTTCTTCCTCTTGCCTTTCAGGGTTTTCCCGGCTCTGCCGGGTGTGTGTGTGTGTGTGTGTGTGTGTGGGTGTGGGTGTGTGGTGTGGGTGGGTGTGGTGTGGTGGGTGGTGGTGTGTTTGTGTGGTGGTGGTGTGTGCGTGTGGTTGGTGTGTGGTTGGTGGGGTGGTGTGTGGTGTGGTGGTTGGTGTGTGGTGGTGTGTGGTTGGTGTGTGGTTGGTGTGTGGTTTCCTGGTGTGGTGGTGTGTGGTTGGTGTGTGGTTGGTGTGTGGTTGGTGTGTGGTTGGTGTGTGGTTGGTGTGTGGTTGGTGTGTGGTTGTGTGTGTGGTTGGTGTGTGGTTGGTGTGTGGTTGGTGTGTGGTTGGTGTGTGGTTGGTGTGTGGTTGGTGTGTGGTTGGTGTGTGGTTGTGTGTGGTTGGTGTGTGGTTGGTGTGTGTGTGTGGTTGGTGTGTGGTTGGTGTGTGTGTGTGGTTGGTGTGTGGTTGGTGTGTGGTTGGTGTGTGGTTGGTGTGTGGTTGGTGTGTGGTTGGTGTGTGGTTGGTGTGTGGTTGGTGTGTGGTTGGTGTGTGTGTGTAACATCTGGATAGATGTAAAACTTCCTTCTTCTTTTTTCTTCCCTCTTCTCCCTTTTTAAATAATGCAGGGGGACACAGCATTTCACTGGGACTGTGTCCAACGAAGCTACCAGCGAAATGGGATATCCAGCTTGGCCAGCTGGACGTACCTGCATTTTTCGTTGCAATTTTGACTGACATGGCACGCGGCCAAGCCTAGAACCGCACAGCTGCATTTTCACTTCACGGTTGTCGCAATCTGGTACTTAATTTCTGTTATCAACATGGCGATCCTTATTTTTTGGATCTGCACGTTACAGGATTCAGTTCCTGCCGGATCATATAATGATCCATTCTTATCTAGTGTGTGTACCTCTTCTTATATTATTTATTTGTCTTGTCTGTCTGTCTATCTCTACCTAACAAACCACCCGTCCCTAACTCTCTCTACCAAATTCTTTCTATCTCGTTCTTTCTCTTTCTTTCTCTACCTATCTCTATATCTACGTATATAATATATATATATACCTATCCATATCTACATCTATCTCGATATCTATCTCTATATCTATCTTTGTATCTACCTCTCTATCTATCTGCATATCTATCTCCATATCAATATCTGCTTCAATTTCTATATCTCTCTATCATTCTCTATGTCTATATCTATCTCTATATCTCTCTCGATCTCTACCTATCGATAGATCCTATCGATAGATCTATCGCTTTATCGATCTATCGATCTATATACCTGTCTGTCTATTCCTTTACTTATCTGTTCATTCACTTACATCCATATCTACATTTAAATCTAGATCATGTCTGTGTCTCGACATATCCTCAACTTCGTGAAGCTGGGCACCTCAGCTTCAGACCAGGTCTGGCGTCCAAATCCGTGGCGCTGATTGCCACACCATTGGCCAACATAAATGGCCCCCGAATGGAAGCGATGCGGCGGTCGGGGCCCCAGGCCTGCCCAGCCCGGGATTTCACCAGTCAATGGCTGTAGCCATGGCTCTTAAAAACCATGCTCCCAATATAGAGAAACTCCGTGACTCAGTGAGATGTTTAGGTTTCAAAAACAAGATTGGGCATGATTTCTAGATAGGTTTTGCCGTTGCCCATAGATTGTCGCTCAGCTCCATATCCTTTTCCGCCGAAAGGGTCTCACTGGGACTAGAAGCAGCAGCTGCAGTCCTTAGCAAATTACCAAGTCACTGTTGAGTCTGTGCTAACACACACTATACCTCAACAAAAAGCTTTCCCCTGCCATCCCCTGCCAAAATTGAGCATCAACAAACAAATAGGTTTTGAGCGATTTGGGGGTCTGCAATCTTTGGCAACATGATCCCGGACTTTCAGAACTGAAAGAACGAAGCCGCCAAGCTTCGAAAGGACACAGAGGGGTTCCTCCACCCTGTCCGACCTGTATCAAATGCGCCTTGAAAATGCGCAGTTGGTCGGACTCAGTGCGTCTTCCTGTCCAGCCCTCCTTGTTGTAGATTCCTCCAAGGCCATCGTCCGTCCAGACACCGGACCTGAGCAAAATGTCAAGTTCCCAGGCGCTTTGAACCAAAAGCAAGGGAGAGTCAACCACCAAAATTGCCATATGAGCGACAAAATCAACGACTCAACTGACTCATCCCGATATAATCTATATTTTATTTATATAATGTCTATCTTATTGGATTTAGAAAATCACCTGAAGTGCTCAAATCGGTTTTGGAAGCAAGACATCCTTCTTTTTCTTTTGGGTCATCCCCTTTCTCCGCGCCTGCCCAGCGGATCGTCAGCTGATCCTTTCGGTCGTTTCCGCAGTTTTCGCTTTGGTTTTTGGGCACTCTCTGCCTCTTTCTCTCCTGCAGCAGCTGGACATCCCTGATGCTTCCATACTGCCATGGGTAGATTAAAAGCAAACGCTGCGTGTAGTTGGGATCCATGGTTAATAATGAAATCAATGATTGATATCGACATAAATCCCATACCAATAAACGTAATAAATCGATGCCATCAAGAATCGCATTGCTCATCATTTGATATCCCGTTTGACATCGCCTACTAGGATCAAAATGGATCTCCTATGGTCTCCTATGGTCTCCTGTGGATCTCCCCAAGTCCTTGCCTGACTCTTGCGGCTTTCTTTTGGCGAAGATCTCATCAATGGATTCCGTGGGCACGGTAGGAGCTGCTGATGCCAGCGCTTTCTCCTCCAGGCTGTTGGCACCCTTCAGTGAGTTTTTGTTGGGGGTTGGGGGCATACACACATGTCTTGCACATAGTATAACAATGTATAACAAATATTGAGCTCCTCAAAAATTGAAAAAGGACCCTGAAACTGGACCCACTCAATTTGATTGTTGTTACTTTTGGGAGAGCCACTTGTGGGGCAATGATTTCAATGATGCTGAGCCATTTCGGAGGCCTTGGCAGCTGCTTTCTTAGCTGCTGCCTTCTTCCTCTTGAGACTTCGCTTGCTCGGCCTGGAATGCTCCGAAGCAAATCCATTGGACAATACATCGGGTAGTTTAATTACACAAAAATCGGATGCCTCATGATGCCTCATGATACCTCAAATCAATTGGCTTATCATCACTTATGCCGCACAATAAAATTGATAGATGGGCTTATCATTGGAGCATAGATACTGACCCTCCATTTGAGAACCCGCATGGGCATGGAAGAATCACAATAATTGACCGCTGGCGCTGAGTGACGCAGCGGTCTCCGCTTCAGGTGCTGCTGCAGGTTCCACTGCTGCTAGTTCTGCCGCACCGTTCCTGAAAGAACCAGGGGGTAGAGAGTGGTAAGCACCAGAAATATAACACGAGTGGTAAGCACCAGAAATATAACACCCTTTGCCACCCAGATTTAAGGTCGGGGACTTTCAGGTTCAGGATGTCAGGGCATTTTGATTCATTTTCTAATTTAGTATATCAACAGAATCTATTGTAGTAATTCTGCGAGTACTGAGCATCTGCAGTCCCTAGCTTTTGAATGGCTCCCGCAATATCAATAGCTGCATATCCTGGATGAGCGAAAATGTGGCAAGTGGAATCGTCATCCCTCCCTCGAAGAGGGATCCGTGACCCTTGGGAATCAACACTCTGGTCCTGCTCACGTCTCCTTTCCGGACTGTACAAAGCAATCCCTTGACAAAAACATGTGCACCTAGGTGCACACAAACAGTACCAAGGACACCATGGCCAGACTGCCTTGCCACCTTGCTTGCTATGTGTCACTGATGGTTGACAATCATACTTGGCAAGAAATTCACCTACATGCAGCACCCTGAAATTTGAATGAACCACTAGGCGCTGCTGGAGGGGAAAAAAAAAGAAACCCCGTGATTCCATGATTAATCTCATGTTCGTGGAGGCAAAATCCTTAGACCCTTCGGAAATCTAAACTTGCAATGTAAATCCCCCGTTTACAAATGTGTGTCCTATTCGAGAGGCGAATTTCCCAGCCAGCCAAGTTGGCGTTGATGTGAGCGACTTCCAATAATCCAAGCGTCAAGGCGTCTTTTTCCTTTTTGAGCTGCTCTCGCTTCTTTTTGCGCATAGTGCATGCAGCTGGCCACGGGTCTTAGCAACAGGTCTTCATTCCGCAATCCTTGTTGTTCATACTTTTGCTTGCCGCCTTTACAAAGCACATGTCTCAACAAGAAACTAAATAATCAAACACGCTCTGCACACATATGGCCACAGTAGGTCGCTCGAAGGACTGCCGTGACTTTGTTTAAAGTGGTACATTGACATCACGGCGAGGTATCTTTGAGCCAAGCTGCAGGCAAGGCTTCAGCCCTTTGGTATGTGAGCAGCATCTCCATGGATGTATGTATTGTTTTTCCTTGATCTATATACTTATATATGTGTTTATTTATTGAGTTATGTAATGTATCTACTTATGTATTTACAATAATTCATATACTGATTTAATCTGGTTTATATGCGTATTACTTATTTACATTTTTTTATTATCTAATTTAAAAGCAACGAAAAGTATTGGCTAGGCTAGATAGATAGACAGACGGGCAAATTCGATGGATTGATTGACTGAAAGATTGAGAGATGGATCGGTTGATAGATTGATAGTTTGAATCATCGATTCATTGATCCTCTGATTGATTTGATTTGATTTTAATGATTAAATATTCATGAATAGATTGGATAGAAACAATAGATTCGACAAATTTATATAGGTTCAATGGAGATAGATCGGTAGAGATAGGTCTAAAGATTCGATAAATTCGATAGATGGATAGATGAACAAACTGACAGACAGGCAGGCAGGCAAATAATATAGACAGGCCAACAGATGGATAGACAGACAATTACATGGTTCAAGACTTAAGACAAGTCCAGACACGTGGGATCAAACATCAACAGTATGATGATATTTGATGATATATAGTTATATATATATATATGCCACTTTCAAAACACCCACTTTCAAAACATGGTACATGCCCGCCTCGCAACTCGAAACCTAAAACGCCCAGAATTCTCAGTTCATCCAACCTTGGAGATGGATCATGGCGGAATTCAACGGATTGATTCAAAAGTAAAATTACGGGAGACTGTGGTTTCTACCTCGGCAAGAATCCGTTACCTACGGTACTTCTATGTATTTCTTGAAATAGGTAAAGATGATGATAGATGGGTATGGGCCATGGGTCAAGAGTCAAACCAGTGGGGGGTCTCCTCAATTCGAGTGGTGAACGCACAAAAAATGACTTGCGAAATGGTGTTTTTTCGTCTTATTGCAATGTTCTTTTTCCAAAAATACTCCAAGAATTATTATGATATGTTATGATTATATTCCAAAAATGGTTACGGTAACAACATTTAAATATACGAACTGGTATTTCATACTACCTCCGGGGCCTTGTGGTCTGGCCCGCCTTCCACATATTTAAATGTCGTTACCATATGTTTTAACATGATTTAAAAATATTTAACACATCATTTTGACCAATGGCATCCCATGGCCCATATTCTGCATGACAGGGATCCAGGAATTTCGGGCACCGAGGGCCCAGCTCCTTCTCGAAGTGTTCTGGCCAGCCCACAGCCCTGCAACACGAACGTGTTGACGATGCGGGCTCAAAATTGAGAGCCAGCATTCCATCATTCCATATCATTCCACGTATTCCACTATTCCATGATGAACTCCATGTATGTGTCAGGGATGAGAAAACATCCCATGTTCATCCATTTTCCCCATGAACATTGCCATGATTTTTCCCAAGCCCCATTTTGGGCCCGCCTGTGGTATGAGGCTTGGAGCATCTGGGTGCTCCAGGCTTGCTCCTCGTGGGTGGACTTGGCCGCGGCATCCCAGACTTCGGGGACCTCGAATCACGACAGAAGTTGAAGTCCAGTCAACAAGTCCATGGTCTCACGCCGTTCAAAGTTGCAGTGTAGTGGAGCGGAGTGGAGTGTAGTGTAGTGGTGGTTGTAGTTGAAAATGCCACAAAACCCTCACATTTTGCTCACTTTTGGCAAGGTGCACAATCCCTTGCGCCTGCCATGCGACATGATATCTGAAGGTCCAAAAGTGGCCCGAGACCATCAATTTTGAACACTTTTGACTTCGAAATGTGCTTTGCACGACAACAGCATGCACTTTTTCAACGTCTCAACTTTCAAAAGCGTTCCGAGTCTGATGTGTTTTGTACATGTTGACTTCGAAATGTGCTTCGCACCACAACGGCGTGCACTTTTTGAACATCGCAACTTCCAAAAGTGCTCCGAACATGGTGTGCTTGTACATTTTGAGTTCCAAACGTGCTTCGCGCCGCAATGGCGTGCACTTTTTCGACATCTCAATTCCTAAAAGTGCTCCGAAGCTGACGTGCTTTGTACATTTTGACTTCGACGTGTGCTTCGCGCCACAACGGCGTGCAATTTTTCATCCCTCATCTGGCCAGATGGCTCCGCACCCGCCGCTTTAGCGAGCCTACTTTTCGACCCTCCGAAGCCACAAATCATCGGAAAAGCACAGTGATTCGCCACTTTTCTACTTTTTTGCGCACCTGCATCTTCTTTCTTCTGACTCTTTCTCTTCTCTGATCTTCTTTCTTCTTCTCTTCTCTTCTCTGACTCTTCCCACCTCCGCTTTTCATCTGTCCATATTGTCGCAAGTTTGACTTCTAACTTCCTTCGACTATACAAGTTACAATTGACATCAATTGACATCAATTGACACTTTCGAATACAAAAATAGAAGTTCAACATCCACCCACGAGTGACCACTTTTTCTTGAAAATAGGTACCTCGACCCTGGAACCACCGCGACCTTCCGGGACCCCGAACATCTTCGCTGGCAGCCTCGCAACAGAGCTGCCGGCAAAGTCCTGGCGCCACCTGGGAAATGAACTGATGAACCCCCCAAAAATGTCGCGTTTCTAGTGGCAAAATGTGGCAAAAGCTGTTCGAAAATACGGAAAATCTGCGAAAATCTGGAAAGGTGAGCTGGAAATGTTGTGGAAACCTGAGATGGAAACGAACCTGTGGGATTCTAGTCTATGGTGTTTAGCTGACAAATCTGGCAATTCACATGGGATTCTAAAGCAGGAAAAAGATGGATAAAATATCGGATTGACACCTGATATAGCCTGGAACTCTGAGATGGATTCCCAAGATAACTTATCCGATCAAGCGAAGCCCATTGTTGATGTTCTATCTGGTATTTCAGGGGGGCTCGCTGTTCTCAGGATAATCTCAGGATCACATTTGGCTGAATCATGTCATGGAATCATTCTTGATCTCATTGAAGTATACTATTAAGTTTCTCTGAAATTTGAGAATCCACAGGTAAATCCGCTATGTTTTCTTTATTCAAACATCATTTATTTTCCAACCTTTTCATGGTGGTGAACCCTCCATTTCTCCCATCAGCCAATGATCAACAGGTGAACCATGGCATGGCCATCAATTTGGCGCCTGAAAGATGAGCCAATCACTGACCGCTGGCTTCTCTCGTGCCACTTGGGCCTTGGAGCAGGCGGCCTGCAGGTTGATGTATAACTATCTATAAATGATATATCATAAGTCATGTGGGATATGCATATAGAGAGAGAGAGAGAGGAAAAAAAAAGAGCGATACATATATATATATATAGATATACAGATATAGAGCTATAACTAGATATATAGATATGTGATGATATGTGTGCGTGTACATATCTGTGTCTGTTGGTATCAGTCTGGCGGGATGTCGGTCTTTCTGTGCAGCAGGATGCAGTGATGGATGTACTATGCCCTCTGAGTCCGGCACCCCCATAGGAAGGGAAGTTCTCACGATCGCGCACTGTAACTGTAACTTGTGGCTGCTTGTAACTCTTGCTTTCGGCGAAATGTAGAGAAATGTAGAGAACAAGTGAGAACAATGACAGGAAACAATTAACATTTCAGCCTCTCACTCTCATTCCGTCCACACTGATCGTCTGCGCTAGGCCTTCCTTTTGGATGATTCGCTGCCTGTCGGTCGCACCCAGAACAGCCTGTTGATGCTGTTTTGGTCAAATCCAACCCGCACCGGCAGGCCGCTCTGTGCAACTGGCAGCTGGGGTGGGTGGCTGTGGGTTTGAAATTTCTCGAGCCTCACACCTTCGGCATTCGGCATCGAGTCTTCTCATGTTCCTACGCACAATACTTGTGCTACAAAACATTTCAGCCTCTCACTCTCATTCCGTCCACACTGATCGTCTGCGCTAGGCCTTCCTTTTGGATGATTCGCTGCCTGTCGGTCGCACCCAGAACAGCCTGTTGATGCTGTTTTGGTCAAATCCAACCCAAGGTAGTGCGACTCGTGGTGGCCATATTTTCGCACTGTGCAGCAAAGAAATACTCGTCACATCCAAAAGGCAATGAGTGCAGGGGGGTCTGTGTGGGAGGATGGTCAGCATCAGCTTTCCCACCTTGGAGTCGCTGTGCCGGCGGATTCAATGTGAGGCGCTAGAGGACTGTTGGGACTGTGGCAGATCTTGTGTGGTCTTCCAGAAATTCGCGTTGGGTTCTGCTACTCCAGCGACGTTATGTCGATGCGGCTCCCCGCTCACAAACTAGAGCAGGTGGTGTGGACCCCAGGATTCCCACTATCAGGTAGCCACAGGGATGATGCGGCTGTGGCTGCAATGCCCATATTCAGTCGGCTAGACCCATGTTTTGGCCACTCTGGTGCAGCCCACTCCTCGTGATGTGACGTTGCGTGGCCAATGAGCGCCACCATGTTCAGTCGCTCAGCCCTTCCGGATGTGCCTGGGTTGAGCAGCCGCAGTGACTTGAATGGGTTGTCAGGGACCACAGATGGGTCAATGCAACCCAACATATTCGACTTGGCACAGTTGGGAACAAGTGTTGATAAATTGATTGGCATTTCTTTCCAAAGAAGCAAAAGTGGCAGTTGTGGCCCGACTGCTTGATGGATCACAAACCAACCGTAAACCAAGGGGGGAAACCAACGCATGCCATCTGACATATGACACGTACCGGTGGGCTAATACAAGGCCTGTAACACTTCGAAGCCTCTGTGAACCTCACCGTGGCGTCGATCAA